GGGTTTAGTGTTCTGACAGGATGTGAGTTGGGAACGAAGCGACATAACTGACAGATCAGAGAATCAGAGAATCTCTGAATGGTTTGGGTTGGAAGAGACCTTAAAGATCATCTCATTCCACCCCCTACCATGGGCAGGGACACCTCCCACCAGCCCAGGTTGCTCCAAGCTCCATCCAACCTGGCCTGGAACACTCCCAGGGATGGAGCAGCCACAGCTTCTCTGTGGACAACCTGTGCCAGTGCCTCACCACCCTCACAGGGAAGGATTTCTTCCTGATGTCTAATCCAAACCTGCTCCTTCATTTTAAGGCCATTCCGCCTTGCTACCCAAGACAGTTTTGAGGTGGCTGAAGATGAAGTGTGAAATAGTATTCTTTGATTTGGCAATGGCTTTTGTGGTCTGTTTTCCTCTTTTAGCTGTAGCAAATAGCTCCTGAAATATCCATTTAGTCTCCAGTGCAGAGAGCCCAAAGTGTCATGAGAAGTGTCCAAGCAGCAAATTGTGCAGTGTAATCCCTTGAACCTGGTCACTTAAATTAATCTGTTACCTAAGTGAGAGGTTCATCCTTTCTCTTGTCACTCCCCTATGCTGAGCTCTTTAAAGACCATTAATCATACCAAATGAATTCTCTTTAAATCCATCTAAAAAGTAGATTTTTAGCCACAGTGACTGCAAAGCACCAGAAGAGTGTAAGGAAACGTACATTTGTGTGATGTTTCTGCCCTGTAATATATGAGCACTGCAAAGTGGATGCTGTAAAATTCTGTAGTGCAAGGAATTAATGAAATGATTATCCACTGTTTTGGTGTTGTTTGCTCTGTTATTTGTCCTGAGGAGATGTTGGAAGTGTCCCAGAGCAGCTCAGCACAGCTCCAAGGTGACTTGTGCTGAGCCACGAAGAGTTAAGTGGAATTTCATTCACTTCCTGTGTTGCAAGTTTTGTTGAAAGTAGTTCCTCTGCTGCTATTTTTAAATCTGATTACTCTATGCAGAGGACTCTGAGGCTGTCTGGGAGTTACAAGAGACATCTTGGGATCATCTCAAGAGTTTCCACTCGCTGCTTAATGTGTATTATCTGGAGATGATGTGAACACGAACACACATCAAACCTCTTGCTGGAGTGGGTGTATAATATAAGACTCATTTGTTCTGAGCCTCCCATGTGCTGAAATGGGGTTGAAATGCTCCTGCCTGGTGCAGAGTTCATAACATCTGAATTTAGGTGTGACACGAGAGCACCTGTGGTTTCTGAAAGGTGCATTTGCTTGTTGGAGAGTCGTTAAATGAGCTGTTTGGGGTTGGTTTGATTAATACTTTTTAGCTCTTCAGTCATCCAAACATGAAAGTGTAAGATGTAGTTATAGGAAAAAACCTAGTGGGTTTGGGTTTGTGGTGTGTTTCTTCCGAGGTCCTGGAGCTTGTAGTTACCTCTAGTGAATGCTAAGCCTGTCACCTAAATATAATCTGGTGGTGAGCGTGTAAGAATAAGAAATAAGCACAGTAATTAGAGAGAAGTGAAGCAGTTTGTGGTTGGTTGTCTTGTGTTACAGCTCTGAACTTCCCAGCACAGCCTTGAGCAGAAGGAGCTTTACAGACACAGCACCATGTGCACGTCAAATCGTGGCGTGTGAGCACAATATTGTGACTACATCAGCCTGTGGAGCAGTTTCCTTGCTGTGTGTGAGGGGCAAAATTACCCTGTGTCAGCTGCTTGGCTGGAGAGTTGAGAAATATTGGATGGAGCTGGAAAACTCCTAGTTAGCAGTGGCAGAAATGGCTGTGCCACCTAACATCGCCTTGGGGTGAAGAGGCACGTTAGGTGCTGTGTGACTTTGGTGCATGAATTCATTTAGCTAATTGTGTTCAATGACTGGAAGAGACAACACTGATTAAACCATCCTCTGCCCTGCATGGTTTTGCAAGGCTCAGCCTGTAGTGTGGAAAAATGTCTTTGGCCAGGAAACTTGGAGTAGGAGAAGGACATGGACCTCTTGTGTTCAAAGTCAGGTTGGATAAAGCCTGAATCAACCTGGTGTGGTGGGACATGTCCCTGCCCAAGACAGAGGATTGGGACTAGATGATCTCTAAGCTCCATTCCAACCCTTTAACATACTATAAACTATGCTATTATGAAACTGGAAAAGCAAAACCAGCTCTGGGTCTGGGGGAGGCAACAGCAGCAGAACACGCAGCTGTGGCCTGGCTGTGGAGCAAATGGAAGTGCCTCCTTGACCTCTTGACTTCCACGGAGATGTGTAGAGCAAACCCAGTGCTGAGGCAGGAAGGAAGCCCCAGAACCACAGTGGAGGAGGAGGAGGAGGAGGAGGGAGGAACACGCCGGTTGAGCCTGCAGAGCCACGGCCGTGGGGACCCATTGGGGCATGAGCACTGGGGAACTGCACAAACCGCCGTGCTCTGTGCTGGTTTTTGTTCCCCAAATCAGCTGCTTGGGACCTGCATCTTATCAGGGTGAAGTTAGCAGCACTTCACAGGCAGCTGAGCAGGCTCTGGTGGTGCTTCTGGGCTGTTAAAGACACAGTTCTTAGTGCAGTTCGTGTATGGAAGAGCTAACACCTCCATGCTAGAACTGCAGGTGTTTCTCAGTCAAATATTTGGTTACTCTATAGAGTGGGAAAATATTTGGCTTTTCAAGCTTTCACTTGATACATAGGTTGTTGATTCATTCTCTCTAACCATAATAAGCTGAGTGCTTTGCATGTATGTGTGAAAGCACTGAGGGATGTGAAATCCCTCCTTGGCTGTAGCTGTTGCTCTCTCTCTGGCCATAACCACCCAACAGTAACATGTTGAGGTTCTTTGAAGCTGACACAGGTGTTGCCTTCAGCTGAGCTGCACAGAGAGAAAACCTAACTGATGTGGCCTGTGGTCCCTGGGTAACGTTTTCAGCAGTGCTTATGTGGCAGGAGGTTGAGGGAGGGGATTCTTCCCCCCTGCTCTGCTCTGGTGAGATCACACCTGCAGTGCTGTGTGCAGGTCTGGTGTGCTCAGCCTCAGAAGGACAAGGAATTGGTGGAGCAAGTCCAGAGGAGGCCACAAAGTTGCTAAGAGCACTGGAGCATCTCCCCTGTGAGGACAGGCTGAGGGAGCTGGGGCTGTTCAGCCTGGAGAAGAGAAGGTTGTGTGGAGATATCAGAGCACCTTCCAGGAGCTGAAGGGGCTCCAGGGAAGCTGCAGAGGGATCTGTGTTAGGAGCTGCAGGGACAGGACCAGGAGGAATGGGGAGAAGCTGAAAGAGGGAAAGTTAGATTGGATATTAGGAAGAGGATTTTCCCTGTGAGGGTGGTGAGACACTGGCACAGGTTGCCCAGGGAGGCTGTGGCTGCCCCAGCCCTGGCAGTGTTCACAGCCAGGTTGGATGAAACCTTGAGCAACCTGCCCTGGTGGGAATTGGGGCTGGATGATCTGTCAGCTCCATTCCAACCCCCTAACACTCTATGATTCTATGTGACAGGTGTTTTAATTCCCAGCAACAGGATTTAGATGCTTAAGTCGCTGCTTCCCAAGCTGTGCTTGGCACAGCTCTGCTGCAACAGTGTTTGTGTTCATTACTGTGTTTAACTAAAAGTTTGACAAAGGGACATCATAGTCTATTAGAAACATGGAAGATTCTGGCCAAAACTGTTTGGGAATCTCTGGTCTAAGTCACTTTATATGTTCTTTGAATATATTACCCTTCTCTAGGAGTACATTGACTCCTGTTAGTTGAAGCAATTGAGATGAGAACAGTTCTGATGTGACTAAAATAAAACACAGCCATCAGTAAGCTGCTATGCCCATAAAAATATTCTCTGTAATTGCAGCCATTTCTTTGCTCTGTATTGAGCAAATGAAAGAAAGGCAATGTTTGCCCTTTAGCTTTGACTTGATAACCGGTTGCTGTGTGTAAAGGCTGTTACTAACATCAACTGCTCTGCAGTTTGCTGCTCTTTATGTTCATTTCCTGTGTTTTTCCTGTTATTTACCTATGGTACAGCTCAATATTTGTAAGAAGCCGTGATAACCTTAAGAATGTAAAAGGTTCAGCGGTCAGAAACTGTTTGGGAAACTGACTCCTTCCATGTGTGTGTGTAAAATCAGTTGTTTATCCATCCCTAAGCCTGAGGAAGTTCTTCCTTCTCTCCCTGAGCTGATGTGCTCAGCTGAGTGCAAACACTTCCTGAGCTCAGCTAAGTGATAAACAACTGAACTCAGGAATATTCCTTGGCCCCTTGCAGTGTTAACTGTTTAGACCAAGCACAAGTTGAGGGACAGAAACACATTAAGGTGTTGCTGTGATCATACCCAAACTTCCACACACTCTGCTCCCAGAGGAGAGTCCAGGCTTGAAATGACTTTCCTTTTGGCCACCAGATATTGCACACAGGAGTTCTGAGCATGCTGAGAAGTTCTCACAAGTAGGACACGATTTTCCAAGGCTTAGGTTTGGCATAAACCCCAACACCTGCTGACTGCAGCCCCTTGGCATTAATGCACTGCTGGGAGATTTCCTCCACCTGCTAAGATGCCCCATGTGTGTTGTACTCTTACCCTAATGACTCAGAATTGAATTCTTGCCCTTTACTTCATGTTAGTGTAGCAAAATCTTCAGCAGGTTTGGCCCAAGCCTCATCATTTTTATAAAATCAGTAAAAAAACCCCATTTTTTTTCCTGAGTTGTAGCTCTGTTAAATGATCTGTACCAAAAAGGTGTTGGGGTTGTCTTGGGAATAACCTGCACACTTATGGGGATTATCCCCAATTTGTCAGTGTGGAAAATATCTTGGCACACAGACCTTGCTGATAAATCCCACGTGAAGGATGCTCTGAATACTGAGGAAGCACTTGAAAGGTGATCCTAAATAAGAGTTTTCCATGCTGGAATAATTCCTAATTGCTCTAAGTACATTTCGGTTTGGTTCAGAGTAATAAACTGCTGCTTTTCTGAAATAATCCTTTGTTCTGTTCTTAAAAAAACAATGTTTTTGTCCTCTTTTTAGGAGGAACCTGACAAAGTTGTCCCTGATATTCAGCCACATGCTGGCAGAGCTCAAAGGCATTTTCCCCAGTGGCCTCTTTCAGGGAGACACATTCCGGATCACCAAGGCAGATGCTGCAGAGTTTTGGAGAAAGGCTTTTGGGGAAAAGTAAGTTTCTAACTGTGCTTAAAAATAACAACCTCAGAGCAACCTGCCAGGAGCTGAAGGGGCTCCAGGGAAGCTGCAGAGGGATCTGTGTTAGGGACTGCAGAGACAGGACAGGGAGGAATGGGGAGAAATGGAAAGAAGGAAAGTTAGATTAGATGTTAGGAAGAGGTTTTTTGCTGTGAGGGTGGGAGAGACCTGCTGGTCATTTGGTCCATCTCTGGGGTGAGACACAGGATTGTTCCTGCTTGATATTGCCCATTTTTTTGTGCTGTCTGTTTTGAAATGCATCAAGTGCTGCATCTGTCCCCAGGAGACTCTTGTCTCCTTTGCCTTGATTATTCAGCTTACATTTTCCTCTCCTTGATTGAATTCCTTGACTTGCAATAAGCTCCACAAACTATGCAGAATAATCTGCTTTCTTCTTCCAAACATTTCCATGCCCTTAACATTAGCTGTCCTCTAGCTAAGGACATTACATTAAATTCTTTTCATCTTCTCTCCAATTAGTCTTTCCAATCACTTAGTCACCTTTCTTCTGGCTCCTCTGAGCTTCTGTTTGCAGAATGGCTTTGCTGAGAGAGAGTGAAGGAGAAAGTGTAGCCCAGCATGGAAATGTCAGGTATCATTTTGGTATCTACTGACTAAATGAGCCCTAGGAGGTGTTCAGAGAACCTTTGAGGGTTAAAGTTAGTGGCTTAGTACTGCCTGGGAACTGAGGGACTTCACCTGAAGAGTTTAATTAGTAGCTGCCAGAACAAAAGCAATGATATTTACTCCTGAATGACACAGTTGTCTGAAGTTGGACGTGTTCTGTGTTTCTGGTCCACGTGATATTTCAAAGCAGGAAAATATTCCTTTAAACAGGAGCCTCTGCTTTGGCTTCTGATTATATTACTTCTGCATTTAATCCCTTTTCAGAGGATTGTTGGCAGCTTTCTCCTCTTAAACTATCTAACCCTCTGCTAGAAGAGTCACTGTTAACTCCTCCTGTACCAGCTGCAATACGATGAAATTCATGCCAAGTGATATGATAGGACTATATTCTATATATATTTCCCTATAGGATAGGGCAGAAAAAGGAAAAGCAGAGATGAACCAAACTTGTATATGCAGAGAAATTTTGACTTCTGATTTCCTGCAGTCCCAGAAATCAGTGCTCAGGTGAAAGATGAGATCTCTTGTGGCTGTTTCTCCTCTCTCCCATTACCACGAGGTGGAGGCACAGAAATGATGTGTAGGTATGTCCACAGGGGTGTTTGTCAGGCATATCCACTCACACATGGTTTGGTTTTTCCCCAGGACTATTGTTCCTTGGAAGAGCTTCCGACAGGCCCTGCATGAGGTGCATCCCATCAGCTCAGGGCTGGAGGCCATGGCCCTCAAGTCAACCATTGACCTGACGTGCAATGACTACATTTCAGTCTTTGAGTTTGACATTTTCACACGACTTTTCCAGGTAAGAACTGAGCAATGTGAATCCCTTCAAGTGTGTGTCAGTTCTTCAGCTTAGACTCTTTTCACAGGTCCACCAGGTTTGGCACACTAAGGTGTTTAGGCATTTGGTCCTTTAGTATGTCAGATATGGTTCATATATCAACCAGATTTGACACGCTAAAGTGTTTTGATATTTGACACTTTCATATGTCCAATATGGTTTTTGTGTCAACCAGATCTGACACACTAAAATGACATTATTTATACTGTGTGGGATTTGGTTGTCTTGTCCTTCATCCCTTTACTAGTCCTCAGGACCTCACCTTGCAGTAAAAGTTGTGATACTTCTTGTAGAAGAAAAAAATTAGCTCAATCCATACTGCAACTCAGCATCCTGCCATGAATCAGGTTTTCCCTTTCAAAGGTCACTTTGAGGCTGAAGTTCTGACAACTCCTGCGAGCCAGGAAATGTGAGGCTTAGTTTATCACTCCCTTGTCCTTTTCTTTCATGTCAGATGTATTTTCCATGGGAAGGTTTGGTCAGGATGGAGCCACAGGCTTGGAAATTTGGGCTTCCTCAGCTTTTGAGCTGACACAGGATGTCGTGGACATGTCTGTGTCGTGTGTGTGAGAACTGTCTGTGTGGCTGAAGTGATATTAATAGTAGGTAAAACTCTAACCCAGAGTCTTTGAGTCAAAAACACAACCTCTGATGGTACAATTGGGTATTTACAAGAACAATCACTTGCTTCTTTGGCTCTGACTTGCCTTTTCCCATGTGATAGGGTGGGTTGTAATTAAGATAGGTCTAGATGAAAAATTCCCATGTTTGGTGTTGCAATGTGGCTGAGCTCACCCAGTGCTTTTTCCAGCTATTGTACAGAAAGAACAAGTCAAGAGTTGCTGCAGATTCCAAGGGATGCACAGTTCTTAGGGAGTGTTGATTATCTTCTAAGAGACAAGAAATGTGGAGAAATGGGATGAGGTTTAGACACCTGAGACCTTCTCAGGGCCGAGAGCTTTGAGAGGGTCGTGAGGACTTTTGGGGCATCACTTTAAGGAATGTTCAGCATATATGTGGAGGTTTATTTATCCAGATGTGAGAGGAGCCAGCAATCCTTGCCACACCCAGCGAGGTTGAGGTTGGGTGGTTGAGGAACAGTCACAAGCTACAGCCAGTGAAACTGAGACCGAGGGGAGGGCACTGCCCCCAGGCCCTGTAGGAAGTCAGTGTTGGAGATAAGACCAGTCATGGTTTCTGCTCTTGTGCATAATCTCATTAAGCTCCTGGCTCTGTCCCTGGCTCTGGAATGAGTCATTTTCTCTGCAGAAGCAGCATAGTGATAGCTGGTCTGACCTCAGTGACTTCTCCCTTAGTATCTGTTAAAGGAATTGTGATTAAGGTTTGTTTTAGGTGATGCTTTTATCACCAGCAAGAGAAGCTCAACTGCTCAGCGCTCCAGGTGTGGCTTCTCCACTGGATTTGTGGTGGAAGAGGAAATCTCTTCCTATAACTGAAGGACTGACTGCTTTGATTGGGGATTATCGTACCCGTTGATGCCTTTGGGAGGTGTGTGGCTGATCTATTTCTTCGTTGTTCCCTAGCCCTGGTCGTCCCTGCTCAGGAACTGGAATAGCCTAGCAGTGACTCCAGATTCCTGACCTATGACGAGGTGAAGGCTCGGCTGCAGAAGTTCATCCACAAGCCTGGCAGGTTAGTGCTTGGCAGCAGAGGCTCCTTAGATGCTTCTTGCTAACACCACTGCTCCCTGCACCCAGTGCAGCAGAGCTGACAGGTTGCTCTGTGTGCAGGAAGGGCCAAAGTGGTTAGTTCTGGAGGTTCTGTGGTCAGTTCTGTGCTGCTTTCAGAAAAGGGAACCTTGTGTAGTCTGTCTGGTGAGGCTGTTGGTTCTTGGCTTTTGTAAAGTTCATTTGAAACAAAGGGTTTTAAGGATGGTAACTGCTCTGGATTCTGGGCTTAATTTCACCTGGAGGCCAAAGCTTGGCTGCTTTCCTCAGTCACAGCACAGTTCCCCTTTGATCTGCTGAGGGCAAACTGAGGAAAGCTGATATAAATCACCAAGCTATTCCTACTAGCTTTTATTTGCTCTGTTGAGGTAGCCAGAAAATCTGCCTACTTGACATTCAACCTTCTCTGTCTGTCCCAAACTGAAGTTTCTTTGCCTCTGTGTGTTTGTAGCTACATTTTCCGGCTGAGTTGCACCCGACTGGGCCAATGGGCCATTGGCTATGTCACTGCAGATGGCAACATCCTCCAGACAATCCCCCACAACAAACCTCTTTTCCAAGCACTCATCGATGGCTTCAGGGAAGGCTTGTAAGTAACTTTATCGAAATGAATTTTTTTTTGCCCTTTTTTGCCGTTTGTTTATAAGCCTTAATCCTGTACTGAGGCTTTGGAGGGAGTGGAATGGTGAACACACCCTCTGGGGTCAGCACACAGAGGGCAGGCAGGGAATGGTTTCAGACTGAAAGAGGAGGTTTGGATTAGATACTTGGAAGAAATTCTTCCCTGTGAGGGTGGTGAGACACAGGCACAGGTTGCCCAGAGCAGCTGTGGCTGCTCCGTCCCTGGGAGTGTTCCAGGCCAGGTTGGATGGGGCTTGGAGCAACCTAGGCTAAGAGAAGGTGTCCCTGCTTATGGCAGGGGGTGGATATAGATGATCTTTAATCATCTTCAGAGGTCAAGCAATCAGTGTTGACACCACTGAGCCCCTTTTGGACGTCTCTCAGCTCTTCCTTTTTGTGTAGACCTTGGTTCAGCCAAACAGTTGAGCTGTGAATATTCCCATTGCTGTCAGTGAAATAATTCCTGTGCTGAACTCTTTTGGCACTGGAGATCACTGACAGCTGTCCCTGCACTGGTGAGCTCTGCTGTCCCCTGCCACAGCAGATGATAAATGTGTTTCCCTTGTCATAGATTCTTTTTTCCTCCCGTCCTTAGTTTGAGCCATTGTCACTGATATTATGGCATCAGTTTACTTATTCTGGATACGGCAATGTTGTCTTAACTCTAAAATATCTATGGGATGATTTCAGAAGTTTAATCTGGGACCACAACGTGCTATTTAAAACAACAATCACTGCCATAAGGGACAACAAACTCCTTTTTATTTTGAGGGGCAACAGGTTTAGTTGTGTCCAACCATAAAATTCTTCCCAAATGCCTTTGGAATTCAGAATCCCTTGGATTCCCACCCCTTGCTTCTCACCTTCATTCTCTCTTTCCTCCCCCATTCCTAAAATGTGGCTGTGTGTGACTGTGTGTTCATGCACATAGAGATATCTTTGTTTTCCCCAACTGCTTCCAGTTATTTGTTTCCTGATGGTCGGAATCAGAATCCTGACTTGACTGGTTTGTGTGAACCCACACCTCAGGACCACATCAAAGTCACACAGGTGAGTAAAATACTCTGTCCCAGCAAACTCACTGGTTTTCTTCCCAATTTCTGCCCTCCTTAGCTGTATATGCAGTTCTGCTATGCTTGGTACCCCCCAGACTTGTTTTTAAGGCTCCTTTTGTCCTGTAAAATAATTACAGGAGTTAGGGAAGTCTTAGAATGGCAGGAGGGATGTGAAAAGACAGATTTCAGGCTTTGTCTTTAGTTTTCTGCCAAATATTGATGGTTTTGTGCCACTGGGCATGCCTTGAGCCCTGCTTTTATTGGGCAACCCACATGAAAACTTGGGATCTTTTCAAGTCCACTGTTTTCAGGTGGATCCAGTACCTAAAACCCAGTGAAATCTCTGCAGGCTTCTGCTGTGCTTGTTGTTTGGTGGTGTGACCCACGTGTGGGTGTCTCTCCCCCAGGAACAATATGAGCTGTACTGTGAGATGGGCTCCACCTTCCAGCTCTGCAAAATCTGTGCTGAGAACGACAAGGACGTGAAGATTGAACCATGTGGACACCTCATGTGCACCTCCTGTCTCACAGCCTGGCAGGTGAGCCATTGCCTCTCGTTCATCTGAGTGGAGTCAGTTGCTGCTTTACAGGTATAATCTCTTCTCAGACCTGTGCAGTTTCCTGCAGGTGTGTAGATATATAGCAGAGCTGAGGTCATGAGCTCATAGTTCACTGATATCACTGCGTCAGGAGCTGGTTAGATACTTGATCTCTTAACATGGACTAGGCAAGAAGTGTGAGAACTTGCTAAAAAGCTGTTTTTCTGCTTAAATATTCCATATTCATAGCACAGTTTGCCTTTATCTTCCTCTCAGCTAAAGGGTACCTGCCAAAAAAACAGGTTTCACCCTTGTTGTGTGTTCACCGTGTGTTTTGTCTGTGCATCCCTGAGGCTGTTGTGACACATCTCTTCTCCCCCCTGCAGGAATCAGAAGGCCAAGGGTGTCCTTTCTGTCGTTGTGAAATCAAAGGCACCGAGCCAATTGTGGTGGATCCATTTGATCCCAGAGGAGGAGGAGGATTATCCAGGCAAGGGGCAGAAGGAACTCCCTCACCCAATTACGACGACGACGATGACGACAGAGCCGACGATTCCCTCTTCATGATGAAAGAGCTTGCTGGTACCAAAGTAAGGACACTGGAGTGGCTGCTGCCACTTCTGGCAGTGCATCTTTTCCATCAGTGTTCTTATTGTGCCTCTGAGGGTTGTCAGACCTTAGAGGAGGAAAGAATCTATGGAAGACAGGGATTTAGGCTCAGTTCTGTCAGTTCAGTTCACACTGTCGGTTCTGTCAGGCAAAGGTGATCACACTTTGAAGCCTTTGATCTGTTGTGTGTTGCCTTGAAAAAATCCATGGCGGGGTAAAAAGGCTGGCCTGACCTGTTGGAGTGGAAGATCGAGGTGTGTAACCCTTCTCTGTGTGCTGCTTTTGAATTCCCAGCCAGAGGTCACCCAGATCAGCAAAAATCCACCCATTTTTCCCACCAGTGAGCACAACCCACCAGGCAGAGCCTTCCCAAGGTCCTGATGACTAACAGGGTAGAGGGCAGGTTGTTTTGTTGGGGCAATCCCTTTAACTGTTATCTTTTTATCTGGGGGCTGATAAACTGGTACAATAAAGGGGTGATAACTCTGCCATTAGTGCTCCTTCCCTGCAGGAGCTGTGTACAAGGCACACATTGTTTCTGGAGCCCTGTGTGGGTCTTGTCTCAAACCTCATTGCTGCTCTTGCTCTGCATTACTCCTCAGGAAAGTGGCTGTAAATTTAGCTCATTTTTCATAGTGCAATCAATTCAAACAAGTCAGAAAGAATCTCCTGCTCTGCTTAACCTGTAGTCTTAGCTCTCTTTATCTCCCACCCTATGAAATAATGTACTAAACAGTAAACACTACTCCTGAAGGTAGTTTTTGTAGATATATCATGGGGAAGCAAAGCAACTTCCTTGGTGTGACCTGCTGTCGTGGATGCAGCAGGTTGGTACTCTTTGTGTGTTGACAATAGTGGCTTTAAGCTTCTCTAAAGCTTTTCAGAGTCAGCAATCACTCACCTTGCTTGGGAAAAGAGGAACTAAAGAGAAGAAACAGCTTTCCAGGGACAAAATTGAAGGGGTTAATGCACACTAGGGAGTGCTGCAGCCACTGGGTGAGGAGGTTTTGCAGCAGATTGTGCCCTCTTGTGTCGAGAAGCAGCTTGTTCCTGCTCAGGGCCCACTCAGGCAGGTTTGGTACTCCAACAACACAGCTTGGCTCGTGTTGCTAAGTCTGTTTGCAGTTGTGTCCGACAGCTAAGCCCATTCCTCAAGGCTTGCCACAAGTCAAATGTCTGTGACGTTGCCTTCGTTGCTGGTGTAGCTCACAGAGTCATTCAATAGTGATGTTGAGGTCAGGACAAGTCACAGAGCCTGGAAACCCCTCTAGAGGAAAGAACTTCTGCTGCATTGTGTCACTGTGTTCATTAGGAATGATTCCTTCCCAGAAAGGGTGATGAGACACTGGAATGTGCTGCCCAGGGAGGTGGTGGAGTCACCGTCCCTGGAGAGACTGGAAGTGGCACTCAGTGACATGGTGGTGTTAGGTCATAGGTTGACTCGATGTTCTCCGAGGTCTTTCCCAGCCTGATTGACTCCAATTTGTTGACTTTTCCATCGTTTCCCACCCCAGGTGGAACGTCCTCCCTCTCCCTTCTCCGTGGCTCCTCAGGCCGCGCTCCCTCCGGTGCCGCCGCGGCTGGACCTGCTGCAGCAGCGAGTGGCCAACCCACCCGGGGCTTCCAGCCCTGGCACCACCTCAAAGGTCAGACACTGCCTCATTTCAGCTGTGATTTTGGAGAGTGAACCCTACATGTTCTCCATGACAGCCCTAAGTGCTTTCACACAAGGCTTTTCCTTCTTCCTTTTCCTGTTAGGCCTCACTTACGGTGGTTGGAGTCTTCTTGAACTACCAAGTTGTCGGTCCTACCAACATCTCCTCTGGTTTTCAGCCTGTGCTGCCTCTGCCCTTTGCAGGGGGAGCATTTTCCTTGCATTTTGCTCTGGCTAGTAGGGAGGGTGTCATATTCCTCTCTCAAATTTTCTCACCAATTTTTCCATTGAGCGTTTTCTGAGGTAGAAAACTAAGGAAGGAATGAAATGTATGTGACTGGGAGAGAGAGATGAACTGCCTTTGTGATTGATCAGCACAAGGCAGGAATCTGATCTTGGTGGCATTGAGTCATCGGTTTTTGAGATCCAGCAGCAGCTCTTTGTTTGATGTGGATGAAGTAATGAAATTATGGAAGTTCAGGAAGAAGAAAACATCTATTTTTATGAGTATTCTTTGCTGACTGATCAATGTTAATCTACATAAGTCACCCCCAATTGAATCACTTTTGTACACGACAGGAAGCCTTTGTTTGAAACCCTGTCTAATGCTGCTGTAAGATCTTGTTTTCCTTCCAGAAAAGGAATCTGTGGTATTTAGTAGCTTGTAGTGCTCGTAGTCCTGGTTATCTCTTCAAGCCTCTGGAGAAGGTGTGGAGATATCTCCTTGTACAACCAGATAAAACCAGAGTTGATAAAATCAGGGTTGATACCCCAACCCTGGCAGTGTTCCAAGCTGGATGAAGCCTTGAGCAACCTGCTCTGGGTGCCCCCCAGGGCAGGGGCTTGGGGACTGGATGATCTCCAAGCTCCATCCCAACCCCTTCACATTCCATGACGCTCGGATTGAAAACACCCCTCAAACCTCCTCCTTCTGCCCCCACACCTCCCTCCTGCTTATCTTCTGTGGCAAGCAACATCTCCCACCCTTCTGCCTTCCAGGCTGCCCCTGGTGCTCTCCACAAGGACAAACCTCTGCCGATCCCCCCCACGCTCCGAGACCTCCCTCC